CTTCATTCATCACTGTCCGTTTTAAGGAACCTATATTTTCCAGTGGCGTTGTCACTTCTCTTTTCTTCTCTGCAACTCTTTCAGTTACATTATCAAACAGAGACACACAGACTGGAAGAAATGGATGCTCCCAGTCTGCTCCATTTTGCAAGCAACTACCCAGTGCTACAGAGTATCAGGTGCAGCAGTCACACAACTTTTTTAACATTCCTTCTCTTGGGACACAGGACCAACAAATCAAAATGAAGGGAAAGTTAAGGCAAGTTTAAGAAATCATGGCAGAACACAGTTGTGCCAGTTTTACTTAAGCTTCTCTCCAATTTTGGGAAAATACAAGGTGTCATTTCCTGCAGATATAAATCAAATATTTTATTATAATCAGTAAGTATCCAAGACTAACTGTCTTTTCCATATTTTACCTTATATGTTCATGCTATTAAAAATCAAGTGCCAATCCAATGTGGTATCCCTTTCCTTAAATCTCTGTTCCCACTATCTGCTGTTTATTTTCTTCAATGACCCATATTGTAATAGGGATTCACAGAAATGTTACTTTCTGGATCATATCATTTATTTGCTTGTTTGCTTATTTTATTTATAGGTCACCTTTCTCCCAATAAGGGGACCCAGAATTACTTAGCCAAATTAGTCACTGGCTATGTTGGCTAGGGGATTCTGGGAGCTGTAATCCAAGTAATAAAATTTATGCACTCTCTGCTTTCTTATAAGTAGATGCTGTATATATCATTTCTTATGTATATTTACAGATATAAGACCTATTTCAGTTACTAGGAATGTTTGAAACATTTTTTCCTGAAGTGCAATATTCATACTTTTAAGCTCAGACTCAATAACAGCATGCAGATGCTTTTAATAATTTAAATCCCCCTCCTTTGTTTTTGCCTACTCTTTCTTCCCCCACAGCAACAGCTATTTAAGCTCCCAGAAGCCTCTGGAAGATAAGGTGGAATGCTTCCTGAAGGCCAAGGAATCACAGAATTGTAGTATGATAGAATGTAGAGTCCCAATACTGGACTGAATCCATTTCCTCTGCTAAAGCAAGAAATGCAGTAAGATGCGTAATATCAGAATCTGGAAATATTCGTTCTGTGACCTGTGGTTTCTATAATCTCAAACATTCCCACAATTGCAACATGTACTCATTAATCTTTAATTTACATATCAATAGGTTGATTTACATATCAATAGATTAAACTGTAGTTGATATCATTAATTGGCTAATCACATAGAAAGGCTTGTTTCTTCACATAAAACAATATGTTCAAACAGTGACCACATGTTTTGCCTTGTGACTCTGGTTCTATAAGGTCTAGAAATTTATTTTAAAAAAAGAAAGCTGAGAATCCAGGTTAGCTAATCCGTTAAATGCACATATGGAAAAAACTGAACCAACTGTGTTATATGGCAATCTTAGTAGCATCTAATAAGATCTACTATGAATTTGTTTGGCTTCCAGAACCCTGCTCTGGAAGTTTGCATCTGAAGCATATTTATTGAGATGTAATGAGATACAGTGCTAGCTGGATAGTTCAGTGAGTAAGGCAGAGGTTGGGAGTTTGATTCCCTACTATGCCTTCTGGGAGAAGAGTCAGTCTGTGTGGCCTTGGGCAAGGTGGACAGTTTCAGCCCCCTAAAATGGAAGAACGGAATGGTAAACCTTTTTGGGTGTTCTGGAAAGGGTTGCCATTATTGATTGATTGATTGATTGATTGGTTGGTTGGTTGATTGGTTGATTGGTTGATTGGTTGATTGGTTGATTTGATTTGATTTGTATGCCGGCCATCTGGCAGCCCAGGCGACATCATGAGCCAAAATTGACTTGTTGGCAAGTAAGTATTTTTAAGTGAGATACAGGCAGGAGAAGGAAAAAAGGAAACTTTCATTGTGAGAGAAAGACAGCTTGTTTGGTAAGATTTTTTCAATGAGTGAAGCTCTGAATAATTTTTTTAAGTCTCTAAGAGATCTAGTGAAAAAGAGCAGTAGAATACCAGAAAGAAGTGTGATGCTTGGTTTTGAACTAATTTGTCCAATTTTATTTCCCAAACAGAAAAACTGCCTTTTATGTCAATGAGTTTTGATGTCTGATGGGTGCGAAAACACAAACACTGAGGCATGAAATAATGTTCATATTAACACTAAGAGGCAGGAATATGCATGAAATGGGGGAACAGATGATAAAGTAGGAGGACAGCTTGGATGCCTTGGAAAAGGGAATCAAGGAAGTTCAGAGAATCAAACAAAGCTGCTGTAAAAAAAAAAAGATAGGTTTTGTTTCATTACACGTCTAGACCAAGCATGAGTTGCACACAGTTAAACTAGCTCCCTGTATGTGGGCCACAACTGAGAATTATTAATAGAGGTTATTTATGCTTTTGTTTCGAGATAGGCACAAACTGCCAGTTTGGCGTTTCATGTCAGCTTGTGTGGGCCACAACTGAGAATTATTAATAGATGTTATTTATGCTTTTGTTTCGAGATGGGCACAAACTGCCAGTTTGGCGTTTCATGCCAGCTTGGACAATGGCCAAACAGGCATTCTGTGGTTTGGGCCTCACCCCCTCTGGCAGGCACCTGCTCAAAGGCAGTGCTCACAGGAGGCAGGGCAGGGAAGTTAGGGGGCTGCTTCTGAGTGGTCACCCCCCCGGAGGGGGCAGGATACTGAACCATAGAAAACCTGTTCAGACAGCTTATGAACAGTATGAACCACTAAACTTATGTCTCTCCCATAAACTCGTAGAAAAAGCATTCTCAAAGAGTTGTTCTTTGCGGCATGTATTTAATAGCACAAGACTTCAGAATAAATGTGATTGTGCAAGAGTATGTATCTTTCTTTTTTCCCAGTACATAGCAATTTCTATCAAAAAATGTTAATCATATAAACTTAACAAGGTTTAACATGGTCCTCTCAGGTTTTTAGAAATGTATTTGTTCAGGTAGCTAGTTTTTGCCTGAAAGTTTAACTTAAGAACATTACATTATTGAAAGTAGTAGTTTAAAAACATGATTATCAAGAGAAACATTAACCCTGTTAAGAACTACAACACAGTAGTTCCCCCCAAACATTTTTAAGTTATTTTTTTATTCACACAATGCAAACAGGGATATGGAGATAAGGTGAATGAAGGAGGGCATAATTACAAATCAAGCTACAGTTCCTACTCTTTAGCTTGCCCATATTACCCTCACATGTCATTGTCAGCAGGATGTAGATCATATCCCTTTATATTTTTCTAGATATCCTCAAATTATGAAGGTTAAACCAGAATTCCATTTACTGAAGCTATATGGATACTTCCTCATCTAATTTCTTATTTCTACAGTGCTAAATACCAGATTTTGTGGTACTTCCCACCTTTAGCATAAACCTTTTGGGTGCTGAATATTTCTAGCTTCAATTAGAAATACTTCGCTAATTTGCCTGACACGGACCAGACATTATAAAGTCATTTTCTGGTTTCCAGTCACTGCCCCAGACCAGTGGTGTCGAACTGTGGCCCTCCAGATGTTCTTGGCCTTCAACTCCCAGAAATCCTGGCCAGCAGATTCTGGTTTCCAGTCACTGCCCCAGACCCTTTGTTAAATATTGACATAATGTTGGCCAGTATCCAGTTTGTTGGCATGGAGATTAATTTCAATGATACGTTGCATGTTTCAGCAATTTCTTATTTAATTTCACTAAGGACTAACATTGGGCATAAAATGAGGCTTCTGACATGCATAATTGAATAACAAGAGTTTGGTGGTTTAGATCAGTGGTTCTTAACCTTTGTTACTCAGATGTTTTTGAACTGCAACTCCCAGAAACCCCAGCCAGCACAGTTGGTCGTGAAGGCTTCTGGGAGTTGCAGTCCAAAACTCCTAAGTAACCCAAGGTTAAGAACCAGTGGTTTAGATGAAAGGAACACATGACAGTTGACTCCAGGTTGGGAGAAAAACCATAATGGAGGGAAGGTCTGAAAACTAGCCAACTCTCTTTAAGTGTTCTGATATCTTCCAGGTATACAACCTTCACATATGCATTTCATAATATTGAACAAAACAAAATAGCACTACCCTGTGGATGTGAGCAGTGTGAAACTTTAAATCAGTGGTTCTTAACCTTTGTTACTCAGGTGTTTTTGAACTGCAACTCCCAGAAACCTCAGCCAGCAGAGCTGATGGTGGAGGCTTCTGGGAGTTGCAGTCCAAAAACACCTGAGTAACCCAAGGTGAAGAACCAGTGCTTTAAATCACTATGTCAGCCTCCTCTCTTAACAATAAGCTAATGGAACATTTGTAGTACTAAATAGTGGCTAAATTCCTGTTATTTCACAAAGTAAGTCACAATAGGTTAGGCCTATTGAATCAGTGGAGATTTGGTGAGCCAACTCCATTAAGTTGTATTGATTCATATGGGACTACTTTAGTGTAATATAGTGAATGCTAAATTCCTGTTATTTCACAAAGTAAGCCACAATAGGTTAGGCCGATTGAATCAGTGGAGATTTGGTGAGCCAACTCCATTAAGTTGTATTGATTCATATGGGACTACTTTAGTGTAATATAGTGAATTACAACTAGAGTAGGCCCATTTGAAACTATGGAACTTATGGAGCAATTGACTCAACAAATCCCCACTGATTCAATGGGTTAAAACTAGTGTGAATTACTACACTAAGCGACAGGATTTCAGCCTGTATAGCTGTACTTTTTCTTTGGGGGAATAATTCCTTGGTTCTGACCTTGCTATTTTTAAAATCCAACTTGGAATATTTTTCCTATATTAGAAATAAAAAAACATTTTCTGCCACACAGTGTCTTGGATTATTTTTTCTTAAGGTTTGTCCGCACCAAGGACACAAACCTTTGTGGCAAATTAATGGAAACTTAGTCATTGGGGTTTCACCTTTTGTTCTTTTTAACAGTATAGCAGTACCTAGACACTTAACTGTATAGCTTATTGAAACAGACACATACGATTACCCATTGATACGAGGTACCTGTAAATGATACATGCAGTGTTCTGGCAAGTGCTGCAGTTGTTGAGATCTTGGCCAGTGCGGTAGAAGTTCCGCCTGCAATAAACAACAGCTACTATGATTTATTTATAAAACCAGCAATTCTGCAGCTAACGTCTTGGTCACAGCATTTACCCTCTGCAGGCACTTTCTTGCTTAACTCTTTAAATATTAAGGTATATTATAAAAAGTTGGTTTTAACCTGAATGGAAGTGCAATCCCAAACATAAACAGAACTTATTTCCATATAAAACTGCATAGGGTAGCATGGTTTATCTTTAAATTTATAGAGTAGGGTTACATGGTTTCTTTCCTCCACCTGGAATCAGTCCTGGACTATGCTTGGAGTTCATCTCATCTCACAGGGAGAACCGTAGGTGTGAAGCAGTAGAACGTGCACAGATGCAGCTATGCTGAATCTTTTTGTTGCTTGTATCCATAGCTCATTTCACAATTTTTAGGCAGAAATCTAAGATGTTTCCAGTACAAATGCAGTGTTTTACTAATACTGTATGTGTATCATACAATCACCAGACATATATGACTGGCTGATCCTTGAAGAGTGGGCCCTCACTTGGCAAACTTGGCTTTGCATTCAACCTCTCTGTATTGGTCAGTTCACACTTAGAGTCCTTCTGATCATGAATATTAAGGACATAACCTGGCTGTTTACATGGAGGAGGACAGTGTAAAATTTAAAAGGATATACAGGACATACAGGAAGTAGCAAATATGATAGACTTTAGAAGACATTCAACAAGAATAGGAACTACTATTGAAAGAATGCATTAAATAGATGTTATCTCTGAAATACATTTCAAGATCCTTTCTGTTTTCTGTAGCTGAGCATCCCTGTCATATTCCTGTTGAAATGCCCCTTTCTTAACAAAAGAAAAGGAGAAGGTTGAAGTCTGAGTTTTAAATCATGTTTGTGGATTTTTAATTTTTCAAAATTTTTTAAATTTAATTTAATTTGGTTGCTGCTACCTGCCTGGGCATGTATCCAATAGCCATTCCAGGAAACAACCAATTATAGGTTCAGCACTTGCGTATCAGGAATGATTCAGAGACAACTGCAGTAACCAAGGCTTGCTTACAAAAAGGACTTAGATATAACATTTTAGTGGGATTTTCATCCCCTGGAGTGAAAAATCACCCATTAATCACTGACAGCTTGGACTCCATTACAGGTGTGGGATTCTTTAGCCTATAATGAATCTGACCCACACTTTGGATGGATCTAACCTTACTGCTGTTTTCAGTGTGTAACCTGTGCCACCATAAAAGTTTTCTGAAAATTGCAGACATTAGAAATTTAATGTCAATGTCATCATATGACTCCAAGAGAATAGCAAGAAACCTGAAGCTTGGACATCTACCCAGTCAAACATCTCAGACACACATACGGGGATATATGATTGCAGTGTGTCTTCGATACTTCTCTCTTTTCTTTTCACTCTTCCACATGCGCCCATGCACCTTACAAGGATCGATTCTGCTCTACTTCATAAAACAACATCATCAGGAATACATAAGAGACTCCACGTTGGTTCTTAAAAAGCCAGGATTAGTGTATAATCCATAGGCACAAATCAGCCTGGGAACAAGGTAGCAACATTTGAACTTCCTGTTTTGTTTTGTTTTCCAACTTAGTAGAAGAGATTTATTTCTGTTAATAAGTATTTATGAATATTTTCAAACCAGTACTTTGTACGGCCCATTTTCACTTAAGGAAAAATGCTACGTTTATGATGGCCTCACCGTGGGTAGGAGATTGTAAATATGTTTTTGAGCCACTTAGACATTTCATTGGCTGTTGAAGTGCAACAAAGCAGATCGAACACTGAACCTAGATGACTAGAAGTGAAATAAAACGTGTGCTTTACACTAACGAATCATTTTATGAGTATCTAGTCCCTCCTGTAAATATTTAGATTGGAACTCATGCTATTTGGAGTTTTTAAAGTAAATGTTTGTTTATCATGGTTCCACTCTTGTGTGGTATATGATCAATGAGGTGAGCTGCATACACCTTACTTTGGGTACAATCTTGAATGGCGAGAGGAACGTATTACCTTATAAGCAGAGAACAACATCCTTAATAGCAAGAAACTGCTTTTAAAAAGGAGACTAAGGGTAATAAAAGTAAAATAAAGAATAACACATGTCCACAGACCCAGTAAAAGCGGCTTGTAGGGAAACCACTGAGAGATCTCATGTCCCACTAGGGTGGGCATGTTCCCTATTTTACACTGGGCAGTCCTCTGTTTGAAGGTATCTTTATCTGAATGTCTTTCTGCTCTATAACAGGTTTAAAGATAAAGAAGAGTAAGAATGGGGAGCAGGTGGCTTAGCATTGCCCATCAACTTCAGTCAATGCCCGACCAGCAGACTGGATGGACACAGAAATCACCAGATACCAATCCTTTCCACTTTGATGAGATTTTATTTCTATATGAATTGCAATAATTACTTACAAATTTGCACTGATGCATAATAGGATTATATCTATTGGGAGGGAGGGGAAGGCAGTCTGTTATATTTTTTTGGCTCATGTTTAATAGCTACCCTATATCTCATGTTTCAGGCAATATCCAATTTGTGCCTGCAATACATAGCCTAACTGAAGTTGCTGTGGCTCATAACTCATTGTATCAGTACTGTATAGTAAAGAGATGTTTTTGTATACTTCAGGATACTATTCAGAATTAGATAAAGAGTTCTGTTGAACCTGACATGGTGTGTCTCATCATTCTCCTAAATTTTAAATGACCCTTTCAAGACACCTTTAAAGATCTGTAGTGTGAGTTCCCTTCCTTCAGTCAAGGGTCCCTACTTCCTTAATCAGTCCCTTTAAGACATCGATTATGTAGGCAGTAGGAATTAAACAGCGGTGCCGAGACAGTGCATTTTTTAAGCCATAGGCCAGAATCCTATTCATATGCACAAGGAACTCCAACTACAGAGGCTTCTGAAGTCATCTCACAAGGTGCTGGCTGTGTGGTTAGTCATATGCAACTGGCACCTTGTCAGGTTGTTGTGGCCGCTTTGACAGCTGGAGTTCCAAACATGTGTCAACAATGAACAGAGTACTGGTCACCTCTCTAGCCTGCGGAGCGTTCCATGACCAATGCCTGTTTCAGTTACGAAAAGCCTTTTGCTGAAGTTTAGATGCTTGGAATGGTGAGCTTTGTACAGTCAGACTATGAGGTCTAAAGGGGTTCTGCTTTTAACCAGAGAAAATCACTTGGAGTCTTCTGCTAATGGTAGTAGGGAATCTATTCCCTAAGTTTTAGCTTTTCATAACCCCCTGCACCCATATTTAATTGCAAATCAAAATCTGAATTTGTTAGGATTCCTGCAAGATAGATGCCTTGCAACTTCAGATTCCATTTCTTCCTCTTTCTCTTCCTCTTCCTTTCTTTCTCTCTCTCCAGCAAACCACATTTTACCTGGACATGAAGAAGGGACACGCATGAGCACAGTCCCTTGCCTCCCCTTTCCCCCTCCTGCATCAAGAAGCAGAGGAGAATTCTTAATTACTTAGAAACAATGAAACATAAAGTTCATTTTCATTTCCGTTTGTTTCCAGGTGAGAAATTACTAGCACCATGTATATTTGTGCTTATTTTATAAATTTCCCACTATCTAAATCAGAATTAAATCACGAGGAGAAATAAAACTTCTGATGCATTGATTTTAACATTAATTGGATGTAGGTAATTCTAAGTTTAAATTGTCCTATAAAAGACATGTAAATTCAGTTGATTTTAACATTAATTGGATGTAGGTAAGTTTAAATTGTTCTATAAAAGACATGTAAATTCAATGGAAGTGATACTTTACTGCATTTATAATAGGGAAAATATTGAACATAATAAAGGTTGTGATTTTACAATCATTTCCTAAGAATTACCTCACAAGCAGCATGTAAAATAGAATAATGTCTAAATATCTGCAGTTAAATTTTAATGTTCTTAGTATGTCCCACTCGTTTTAATACAAAGATATTAAATATTAAAACACACCATACCCTTCATTGAGGGCTCTGGCCCTTTCCATATCTTGAATTACATTCAAAAGGACTTTAATCTTCTCCTGGTTTGACTGCAAAGATTCCTCAACGGACTGGAGCCTGTCTTGCAGGGCACACAACTCACTGGGTGCCAAATGAATTTGATTAATTTCTTTAATCTCTTTGTTTTGTGGTTTTACATCAGTTCCTGGGAGATGGGCATTTATGTAAAAGCCTTCTAAGCAGTTGTCGTACTGTGGCACTTCGGTATTGGAAGAAATATTCTCCATTACAGTTTTACATGAAGGAACAGAAAATGATGTGTTGTTGATGAGATACGCTGTTTGGTTATCATTAGTCAGTGTCTTGTGGCCAAAGTCTGCTTTCTGCTGTGTTGGCTGCATATGTTCACTGAGAGAGGAGCATAATGGACTGTTTTGTAACTGAGGTGATGATAGAATGCTTTCCGTAGTACTAGTATCATCTTTTGGTGCTGGTAACTCAGTGCAGCTTTTTATTTCACATATACTATGACACAGGGTAGCTTCATTACAGTTATGAGCTGTATGAGGGAGGGATTTTTCTGATTCTGCATGTAGTGAGCAGTTCTCATTGGATTGTCTCACAGCTGTAGAAGAATGAACAGAACTGCATAAGTCCGTTTGTGTATCTGGGCCATAAATGGCAAAACTGTCTTGTGTAGGACTCAGGTGTGTGTATTCAGGGACCTGTGTAGAAACTGTTGCCTTTTCCAGTACTGTAATTTTATCTGAACCCAGACAAACAGGCCCATTGCATTGTGCTTTAGGGACCCTTTGAAACAGCACACTGGCGGTTGTGGTTTTTGGTTTCGGCCCATCATCCAACCGCCGAGTGAGACTTAAGTAAGAAAGACTAGAAGAAATGATGTCCTGTTCAGGAAAATTGCCATTGACATGAATGGAATATTCAGACTCCTGTGGCATTTCTGTTAAGGACTTACTTGTTGTAATTCTTTTCCTTTTAAACACTGGACAGTGTTTCCTAAGGCTCGGAGACGTCTGTATGGCAATATTTTGTAATCCTTTGTGTGATGGAGGGAAGCAGAGGGAATCGTTGACCAGGTTGTTGTGTTGGGGTGTTTGCATTTTACCCAGGGCGCATGGTTCTTGAGCAGCTTCAGCCTCCAGTTCTGATTCTGCCACCGTTGGATTGTCAGTTCCTTCATCTTTGAATCGGACTTGTTGCGATTTACTCCTGCGATGGTGGGGCTGCCTCTTGAAATCCACAGAATCCAAGCTGTTCCGCTTTAGCAGCACAGGACGTACTTTGATGCCTTGCTGAGCCATGGAGTCGCAATTCAATGTATGCAGAAAATCTGTTTCTTTGCGACCCATTTCATGTATTCATCTGGGCAACATCTGGCTTGAAGGCCGCCCCCCAGTTGAATCAAATTGTATTGTTGATGAAAGAAAAAGGTGACTTTTTGTTCTGTTTGGTCCTACCAGGTATCTTTCTCTCTCTATTCAATTAGTACTTCTGGGATTTGGTTTTTTAATTATTATTATTCTTTTACTCTTTATAAAATATTATTTTGTGACTGGAATAGTAAATTTACAGTTTAAATCTCTGATCCCAGATATTTTGTATTTGCATAGAGTGTAAATAAGGAACATAAAAACAGCTTAGAGCACTTCTCTTCCTGATGCATAGTTTTCCTGGAAAAATGTATCCTTTAATAGTAAACTGGGATTTTTCCTTTAGGGGCTCTTTTTCTTCTTGTCCCATCTTCTTATTTTTACTGTTGAAACTAATCTTAAAGAGCTGAACAGAAGCGAGTGACTTATGTCCAAATGAAAGCAAAGCATCCAACAGGATTAACTGGAAGCAAATTATTGAAATGTTTCCTTGATCTTGTTGACGCAAGTATGCGTTTAGGGATATCTTAGGAACTGAATGATTAAGATGAGATCTAAAATTATTTTTGGTATCTCAAGAGCAGTCTTTGTGGAATAAGGTACAAGTGTATTCTGAAATAAAAAGAAAATAATTGCCAGTGAACACTCTAATACATTTTCTTTAACTACTGTGCTATTCACAGTAAGAATACATTGGGATGATGTAACAGAGACACAGAAAATTTTACCATTCTGCAGGCATCTACTATTTATCAACTGTGAAATCTCATCACCAACTTAATCCTACAGTAACAGTTAATGAAGGCAAGCCCTCCCCCAACACACAATGCCTTATTAACACAACATTTCTATGCAAAATCCCAAATGAGGGAGCACTGAGTGCTTCTACACTACACTCTTTAATGCCGTCAAGACATTTCACCGTCACCTGGAAGTAGGTTTTGAATGTCAATTCCATTCAGCTTTTAATGTCTCCTCATCAAAATCTCCACCTGCATAGCAACAGGAGAAAATGCCAGCCTGAGAAAAGAATTTGATGGAAGGGACTAGAATTTGTGAGGCATTTTTATTTTAATGTACGTTTTCAGTGTTCTAACCAAAAGTTTGAATTTGTGAGGCATTTTTATTTTAATGTATGTTTTCAGTGTTCTGACCAAAAGTTTAAATAAATTTGATCTCTGGCAGCAAGGAGGCTGCTGTTGTGGCACATGGTGGTGGGAATCACACCAGGAACATACAGGGAAAGGATGGAGACCCAGTCGTTCCTCTTCTTCCTCCTAAATGCCCTCTCATATGTTGCAGCTTTAGAGCCAGAGCAAAAAACCCAGACACCCCAGAAAGATGCTTTTCTTTTATCTGAGAAAGGGTTTTTTTTATCATTCTCACAAACTTTTTAAAGCCTGGTTTTAGGAAGAATTTTGCCTTCAACTTTGTTTTGGCTACACTGTGCTGGTTAGCCTCATCCCCACTACAGTTTTCCTCTTCTTCCTCCTAAATGCCCTCTCACATGTCGCGGCTTTGGAACCAGAGCAAAAAACCCAGACACCCCAGAAAGATGCTTTTCTTTTATCTGAGAAAGGGTTTTTTTTATCATTCTCACAAACTTTTTAAAGCCTGGTTTTAGGAAGAATTTTGCCTTCAACTTTGTTTTGGCTACACTGTGCTGGTTAACCTCAACCCCACTACAGTTAGTGAGCTAGGACAGTGGTTCTTAACCTTTGTTACTCTGATGTTTTTGAACTGCAACTCCCAGAAACCCCAGTCAGGACAGCTGGTGGTGAAGGCTTCTGGGAGTTGCAGTCCAAAACTCCTGAGTAACCCAAGGTTAAGAACCAGTGAGCTAGGAGACACAGTAACCAATGACAGGCAAGCCAGAGGGCAAAATCTGGGTGCTCCTACAGAGGCACATGTGTCTGTAGACACAGGCGGACACAGGGACATATACACAGAGCCACAGGGGTAGGCTAACAGACAGTTATTCCTTAAGACACGGATGTAACTCCTGTCCTCTTAACTCCTCCTTGACTGAGGAACAGAATCATACATCCAGTCACCATATTAAAACAGTGGATTGTCTCAGGATAGACCCAAGCCCTAATCCGTCCACCTTTTTGGTCAATGTTAATCCTAGATTGTTCAGCCTAGCCGTTGTGTTTGGCAAGTCTTGTCTAGAGCCAAACATTTTGATTTATTTATTCAATATGAAACCTTCACCCCACCCTTTTAGCGTTTACACTTCAGGCAGAGTTGCTACTGGCAGTTAAAAACTCTAAGCTAACACAAAGTCACAAAACATAATAAAATCAGGTTGACAGTATAACTACAACATTTATTTCTACAAGCCCTAAATTGATGGGAAATGTCTTATTGTTTCATTGAATCCTGCTGTAAGGAGGGCCCCCATATTTGTTTGGTGAAGAGATTGATTGACTGAAGTTACTTGTTAGCTGTTCTTCAAGTGGAAGCTGAAATGGATTACAGATTTAAAACAAATATGTCAGCTGAAAGGATCACAATGGAACAGAATAAAATGCCTGCAGAGAAAATATCTACAAATTAAAGCATCAAATGCTACTGAATATATAAAATAAGGTTCTCACCTGGCACTGAATAGAAAAAAGCGGACAATATCTAATAGTGCATTAGTAGGAGCAGCACTGTTTCCCCTCCCAACCCCTATTTCAGCTCTCCATGGCACCCAGCACCTGCTTTGAAGGTTTTCCAGGCATCTAGGAAAGGTTCTTAGTTTTATAGTGCACAGAGAGCTGCAGGAGGGGAGGGAGGAACAGCAGTGGGATCCAGCTGAAATAGACCACGGGATCCTGGACAAAGTTTGTATGGAACTCTGTGTGTATACCACAAGCCGCCATACACAGCTGACTTTGTAATGCATTGTCATTTCTCTTTCTGTAGTGGGCAACCAGACCTGAATCAGGTGTGTGCCTAGGACTTGGTATTTCATTTACCTTTATCTGATTATGAGAAATAATCAAAATACTGCTTTTAAAATATATTCACAGCACTATTTTCCTGCCTCCATTGTTTCCATCCAAAACTTTGCACATTTAATATTACACTGAAAGATATAAACTAGACTTTCATTGATGCATTTTTATCCAAAAATGTATAATTGTCCCCAATTTTGGTTTCATAATTATTTGATTGATGACTTAAGAACATTCTTAAATGTTAGGAATGTACAATATTCTGGAACCTCCTTCAGAGGAATGCTTAAATAGTTTTCACTCTTCATCTCTTTTTTTGCCCACTTTCCCCTTAATTTTACAGCACAATTTGTGACGGGTTTTATCAGATAAGTCTTTCCCCTTAATTTTACAGCACAATTTGTTACGGGTTTTATCAGATATTAAATCTTGCCAAGTGCATATAGAATCCATTTAAATGTATAGTTTACAAAGAGTGACATCTCTGCCTAGTGTTAGAAATGTATCTTTTTCTCTCCCTCCCCTTTTTATCCAAATAAGGGCCTCCCCAATAAGCTTTCAGTAGCGATTCTTTTTTTAAGGTGAATGAAAAAAGTTAGAACACTGATTTGAATTTTACTGAAAACTCTGCCCTAAAAAAGAACAAGCCTATCTCAGACCAATGTTCTTTCTTTCTTTCTTTCTTTCTTTCTTTCTTTCTTTCTTTCTTTCTTTCTTTCTTTCTTTACTGAAACATTTATGTCAGGAAAATGCTAACACAGTCAAGAGTGCCAGTGTTTTCCCACAAGATGAAAGGTACTTTAGAGGTAGAATCATTAGTGGGAAAAATTCTACTGTATTTGTGTGTGTGTGTGTGTTTGTGTGTGTGTGTGTGTGTGTGTGTTTGTGTGTGTGTGTGTGTGTGTGTCTATCTGTCTGTCTGTCTGTCTGTCTGTCTTCCTATATAAAAGTGTTTTAGATATTTGTGATCCTGTAGCAATGCTGTCACACACTTTCTTACAGTACTGTTGAAGGAAATCAGGCCAGTCACCATTCTGGAAATCAGAACAGTCAGACCGTTCTGGGAACTTGTCATCGTAGGATAGGTTTTAATGGGCAGCATAAACTTGCCTCATGTTAAGGAATCTCAACAAGAGTTTACAGCCCTGTTTTGTGCTAAGGCATAAGTTACGGGAAGCTAGAAAGAACTCATTACAGTTTGATGGGCTACAGGACAAATGTTAATAGCTACACCTCTAAGCCAGGCTTTATTTTTTTACAGCATACCTTTTAAGATGTGGTTCAGCTGTTAAAAGAGATTTAGATGTTTTTTAGAGTCCTTTGGGCTTGTTCTTTAGTCCTTTTTAGGAGCTGCAATTGAGAACTTGTGATGCTGCATGTGCAGGCCCAGCCAAAAAACGTTCTTATGTATGCTGGTTATATCCTTGTTGTTCCCACGTGGAGTATGAAGCTTTGAAGGGGGTTGTTAAACATGGTCTGTCAAATGTGTTTCTAATCACATTCAGTGAAATGCACTTAGAATCACTTTCCCTACCATTCCAGAAAGAGGCCAAGGATGGAAGTGACATACATAAAGTCATTAAGAATAGCCATGTCCTGGGTGAATCTACTTCCCCTCCACAATTAAAAATTTTAATGCCCCTAGCTCTGTCATGTTCACTCCTCTGCCTTATGTACACAGCCAGCTATATTCAGACATTATCCAGTCTGTATCATTTATGCAATAAAACCCTCTACTTCTCTCTGTCTGTTTTCCTCATCCCTTTCTCACTCACTACTGGCTGATACATGCCCACCTCATCACAAAGCTTCTTCACTTACACATGCTGCACAGTTTGATACACTTAAACCATTTTAAGTCCCAGAAGGTATGTATTTAAGCTTCCCTCACTCTCTGTTAAATCAGGATAGATAAAGAATTATGAGAATTAAAGTGAAAATTACATAAGCAGTGTGGTGGAGCAAATGCTTTGGCTTGCTTGAGGTCTCAGATTAAGGTCCCTAGCGTCTCCTTTGAACAAGATTTCAGGTGGCATGCTTCCGAAGCATATCCATCTGGATGGCTGGAGATCTGCTGCCAGTGAGAGGAAAATATATTGGCACAAATGGACCTCTGGTCTTTAGGTAAGCTTCCTCTGCTCCATCAACAGATGTTTCACATTGGGCTTTGCTTCTCTGGAGCTAAATCTAATTGCTGCTTCCAACTACTTGAGACCCATTGAATCAACAATAGTTTAGCAAGTCAAGACTTATTAAGATTTAAAAATTTGTTGAGTCTACTCTGGGTGGGCCAATAGGATTCAGTCCTTGGTTTTCAATGGAGAATGACTAACAAAACAGAATATATATATATATATATATAAGTGATAGACTCAAAATAAGCTTCTGATAGCACTGAAATAAATCATCTACAGTTTGTCATGGCTTCTCACTACTGATAATTTCATAGTTGGCCTTGCAAAAACAGAATACCTGTGCAAGGGTAAGTCACTGCTTTCTTCTTGTTGTTTTCTCACTCCCCCCTCCAGTGAGAGTCTTAAAGGAGAGTTGTGCTGCTAGCAGAACTTCTGCTTGGTTGGCCGCATCCTACTGACTTTATCGATTCCACTGAAGGTAGATCAGCAACATTTATGATGTATGTGGCCTGCTGGCAGCTGAACTATTTACACCACTTTTTCTGCTCCTTCCACATCAGGGTTCTTATGTCTCTGCAAAGGAAAGAAAATGAAGGTATAGGTGGGCCCAGAATGACAAAGCATGAACTGGATCCTGTTATTATTTTTATATGTCTGAATTTTGTCAGCTTTCAAATTCTGAGGCACAAAAGCTTCCATATGTGAACATCTACCGTATTTTTTGCTCCATAAGACACACCAATTTTTTAGGAGAAGAAAACAGGAAAATATAATATGTTTTCTTCACTCCATAAGATGCACAGACTTTCCACCACCCCCTGTTTTGTGGGGGAAAAGTGCGTCTTATGGTGCGAAAAATACGGTATATCTTTATCTATTTTCTGATTGGATATTTTCATTTTTGGCATTTTAAAAAGGGAATGAGGTATCCTTTGGTTTTCAGGAATATTGTAATGAAGAACAGCAACAATAGGAAGGAAAAGGAGGATTCCTATATTTGCTGTTTTGAGTAAAGCTGACAGCATAATATTTTATCTTAAAAAAGCACACACAAGGGCAAAGGGAAGCCAAAGTATTCTATGATTCTGGATGTCTCTGTAAAGTAGCAAAATAAATTGTACCTCTGATTTATTGCCTGCTCTTGTGTGACTTTTTAAAAAATCAGCAGATTGATCATGCAATATAGAGGTACGTTTGCTCAGAGTGCTGCTTCAAGTGTTTATTTTACTTGATTATACAATTTGCCATAGAGTGTGCAGAAATCACTCATAATAGTGGTTCCCAACCTTGGGTAACCCAGGAATTCTTCGACTGCAATTCCCAGAAGCCTTCAGAACCAGTTATGGCAGCTGGGATTTCTGGAAATTAGAGTCTAAGAACACCTGGACTACCCAAAGTTAGAAACCACTGGCTCATAACATTGTTGTTTCAACTGAACAATCCACTCTCATACCAGAGTGGCCATCAGAAGCGAGATCAATGAGGCAGATGAATGTATCATCACACAAACACATGTCTCCACACAGAAGGGTAAAGGAGACAGCCTGCCTGCCTGGGATTTGCCCAGAATCCTAAACTTGGTATTTTTATAAATGCACATTGATCAAAACAACATTCAAGTCAACAGTCCATAGGTAACCTTAATAGACACCCCAATCCCAAATTATTTCCGCAGGTACCTTTGCATAAAGTGTTTAAATGGCTGCCAAATATTATGACTAAATATGTTCTTTGGTATCAAAGGGCCACATACTGTACTTCACAACATTAGTTGTTGGGAAAACAAGTGGAAGTCACGTCCTCCTTGTGGCTCAGTCACTCTGGAAACAGAATTCTGGACTAGGTAGGTCTCTTGTCTGAACCATGTGCTGTCATATTCACACACTGTTGGTTTAGCTGCATTGACTTCAATTACTGTGAATTACTGACCACAGTGAATAGTCCAGCAGCCTGAGTCAGAGAGCCAAGAATCAGGAAAGGAAGAGAGAATTATTATCACTTGCTTACCCTCAGGCCATCTTAGTCTTAGTCTTGCCTCTTCTGCCGATTCTATTCCCCTTATTGAGAGGGATACAGGTCTCCTCAAAGGAGATGCTACTCTCTAGCCTAGAACGGGACAGCCTTGGCAGTTCCAGGTGTACAGAGTAACTGGAGGTTATTTTATAATGTTTCATAATTATAGATGTTTTATAATATTTTGTTTTATTTACAAATATCCATAGCAGAAGTGGAGGCACACCTTATACACTCCAATAGTTAGCCACATCCACTGTCTCGTATCAGGTCTCCAGAGAGATGTGCCCCCTCACTACTTGTGCTCTCTCTCTGTTTTTTCTCTATGTGTGTCTCAGACTGACCTACTTTTGGCTAAAGCTGTTCTTGTTGGTTTTCTCACCCCACTCCCAGGCTGTGGTGCCTAGAAATAGATGGATAGGGGCACACATGAAAAGAAAGTGCATTTCCAGGTGCACAAAGAGTGTTCCACATGTTAGATACCTACAAAGGAGTGGTATGTTGACATTGATACCCTCATCCTAAGTGCATTTTGTTTTTCAGAAATAAGTCCTGTTAGTTGTTAACGTAGATGATAGAATTTAGTTATTTTTATATAGCAATTATATGACGCACAGGCTTTGAAACAAGCTACAGGGCTAACTCTAATCCCAACCAGATTGGACCTAATGAAATAAACCAAACGCACATTACCCTGTGCATTGATTTGAAAGAATCTTCTCTGTGCACAAAAATCACTTCCTTGACATATGGATCACAGAGCACTGTGCAGCCATACATTATTTGTGGACTATATTTCAGTTATGCAGCTTCAATCCAGAAGGATTAGCACTGCAGTAGCCTTTCTGCAGCTGCTATGATGTTGTGCCACCTCTTGTGTCTTTTTCAGTGAAGTAGTGGTGAACAATACATGGGACAGTATTCTACCTCAACACATCAATTCGTTTAAGCAACAATTTTTGTACCACGTCGTAGCTGTAAGTAGCCCAAATCTGTCTTTTTCAGTGAAGTAGTGGTGAACAAAACATGGGACAGTATTCTCCCTCAACACATCAATTCATTTAAGCAACAATTTTGTACCACATCGTAGCTGTAAATAGTTCAAATTCCTCTCCCCATTACTTTAAATTACAAAATCAAACAAAGCGAAAATAAATGACAAAAACAGGGCTGAAAATTAAAAGGGGAGAGTTACATTTTTCCATGTTGCAAGTGGCTTTGAGGCTCTGGATAGGAAGGCAAAGAAACTCAGTGAAGGAGTGATCAGTTCATCAGTACTTCTTGTTGAAGGCTGAACAGGAATATTGGAAAATGAACTAGATGGTGCAAGATTTGGCTTTTTGGGCAATGTATGATGCACAGGAAATGGAGGTGGTGGCATGGGAGAAAGCAGAAAGCAACAGTGAAGCAGCTGTAGGAAATATGGTTTCAGATGCTTCTGCATTAATCATATATTAACATGAGAAACAAGATGCACTTGAACTCTTGAACTAGGAAAGCAGATATAATTTAATGTCATTATTGAAATCTGGTATGATGGGACTGTTGACAGAACTGTAGTAATTGAGTGGTACCAACTTGTGCAAGAGGCATAAAATAAACAGGAATTGAGGAGGAATAGCATTGTATGTCAAGGATCTGCACTTTTCTGAGGAGACCCATGATTCAGAGCATGGAAAGCTAGTGGAGAGCATTTGTGAAAAATCAAAGGAGGAGGAACCAGCAATGACATCACCGTGGGGATCTGCTACAGATCTTCTAGCCAAAAATATGATGGTGTCGTCCTTGACCAGTTTATCAATCTTAGAACTAAAACATAGTCATAATGGGAGACAAAACTGCTACAATATCTGCTGGAAGTCCAGCACTGCCAAGAACACTTACTTCTCTTGCTAACAATTTCTTTTTCCATATGAATTGTGTAGGAGTCCTGTGGCGTTTTTAAGATAAACATTTTGTGGTTTTTTTGCACAATCTTTTGTAAACTGCAGCCCATTTTGTATTTCATCTAAAGAAGTGGACTGAAGTTCATAACTATTATGCCAAATTAAATTTGTAAGTCTTACAGATGCTACCAGACTCTTGGTTGTTTTTGCTGCAACAGATTAATGTGAATACCTACTTGGCAAATGTGTGTGTGTGTGCTATTTTCCAGCATATAGAAGAGGCAGCAAGATGATCAATGATCTTGGACCACATCCTCACCAGTTAGAGGATTTATCCTTTCTTCTAGCTCTTATATATGCTCCTTTTAAATCTCTGCTTATTTGAAGATCCTTATGCAGCTACCTCAGTTTGTTTAGATGCTTCACACTTCTCTTCCTCATTGAATTGTCTATGATTATACCTACAATATCTTACCATCTTATCCACCATGAATGCTCATCCACCATGAATTTTATTGTTTCAATATTTCCGACCAAGATATATGACCAAGTATTTCCTCAAGACTAATGAAATCAGCTTACTCCAGGGTGATGTCTGACTGTAATCAACTTCCCTTTCCTCTGTATAAAGAACAGGTTCCCAACCTGCGGCTCGCAACCCCCAAGGGAGTTGAAACCACAGAGTAGCAGGGATGGGGACTTGAGTCACAGGACTCGCTGTCAAGTTGGACTTAAGTCACACTGGCGATTCGACTCAGACTTGACTCATTTTTTTTCTCAATGACTCGGACTCAACTAGCAACTCGGAACCCATCCACGCTGGTGAGTAGGGGACCTAGCATAGGAAGCAGAGGAAGGGAATGTGTGGCACCTGTGGTGCTGAGCATATAAACTGGCACAAATGTGTGAACCAAGGTTCATGCCCATCTCTACTCCTTACAGAGTTCTATGTTCCTCAGGCTGTTGCAGGCCCCAGTTTGTCACGTCACCTTAAAACCTAACCCTCTCTTCATGGTGCCACTAGCCCAAAGGACCTTTCCAAACTCTCTGGGCTCAGCCCTTTTTTGCCCCAGACAGCCAGTGCCTTCTTGCCCCTGCTGATATTTCTACTATTTAAGTGTTAAGTGAAAATATATTTTTTTCTTGATGTAAGCTTTGTCTTTCTTTTCTTCCAAACTTCGATTTAGAGTTGCCTGATTAGATGTGGGTAATGTACTCTCTGGTTTCTGACGGCTAAACATCTTTATGATCATACTTAAAAATAAACAACAAGGATAGTTTTTTTCTCAGAATGAAACAAAATGAATTCATTGGGGAGTTACAGGTCTAAAGAAGAAAGGAATTGTAATGAAATACTGCAGTGGAAAATTTTATGATGATATGTAATGCCTTATAATATTCACCTACACTTCTGTGTAATCTACCCTCTTATCTTTAAACTTAATAATTAGCTGTTTCTACACACTGCACACAACACAATTTCCTTACTCCCTTTTTCCTCACCAAATCGGACTCAACTAACAACTTGGAACCCACCCGCCCCTCCTTTTTTGAGGGGAGATGCTTGTTTTTAATAGGGACTTGGGGCTTGGGGCTTGGGGCTTAAGACTTGAGACCCCTGCAGAGTAGCCAGTATCTGTAGGGACAAGTTAGGAGGCAAAAGCTCTGAATGAA